GGGGGGGGTCAGTGAGGGTTAATCGGGGGGCGGGGGGGGAAGCGTGGGGGAGTGTCTGTGAGGGTTAATCCCCGGGGGATGGGCGGAGTGTGGGATGAACAAATTGCTCCTCTCTCGTTAACGCGCCGAATATTCGATAATTATTAAAGTATAACCTACCCCGAACACTTGGTATGGATTCGGAATATTCCGCTTCAACAAAAATTTCCCTGTTGGCACGGAATGAAATGTCATCTTTTAAAACAGAATATCGACCCATTCCGCGATGATTCGGTTTAAAAGAAACTTGAGTAAAATTTTGCGTGTTTGTAAAAGTAAAAATTCGTTGATCTTAAAGTGCAATGTAAGAGCGACGAGCGTTGGACTGTACCAACTCTGGTGATCGAGACAGAGGGACGTTTGCGATTGACTTCTACTATGTAGGCGGTCCCGACAACTGAGGGCGGGGTTTGTTGGTGAACCCCTGGGGGTGAAATGGGCGGGTCCTGATGTGCATATTACGAGCGAGGTTTACTGTCGCCACGGGCGACATGAGGGGCGTGGTTTCTATCCGTGATTGGCCGGGAGTGTTTGTGATTGACATGAGGATGTCTTCCCATCGCCCGGAAACCTAAAGGCGGGATTTCCGCACAGGTGGATGAGGGCGGGAGTCTGATGATTGGCGTGTAGGCGCCGCTGTGTCAGTCACGGGCATAGGCCAGTGTAGGCGGGATTTGTGAATGGCGGGTTGAAGTTGAGTGGCCTGTGATTGGCGGATTGTGGCGGGTATTTGGCGGGTGGGAGGCGGTATGTGTGATTGGCCACGGCTTGTTGGGGGCCGGGTATATGATTGGCGGGTAGGACCAGGGCCTGCGATTGGTCCTGACGGGTGGGGCGGGGCTTGAGGTGGTCGAGAGAGAGCGGCTTTCTCTCGAACTATGTCAGAGAGGGCGATGGGGGAAGGGCAGAACATGGTTTTTAAAAAAACGACAATTAAAATAAAATAACAAACTTTGAACACATACCCGCACTCTTCTCTGCTTGAACCCGCTCACCGGAAACCTTCAACTGTTACCCCCTCCCTATCCGAACAGTCTCGCTCTCGCCCGACTAATCGGCGGGTTCGGGGATTGTTTTCCTTCTAGTATCGGTGTTTTTTTTTGTAAAAAACACAAAAGCGAGGAATAAACTGAAGCTGAAGGCTCATTTCTTTCCCGGAGGAAAATGCAAACACGATCGGGTCGGCCCTGAAAAGTTTCCTCGAGGAACATATTTTACCACCGCCCCCTCCCCAAGAGTTGTTTTTTTTTCCCGTCTTCCCCCAACCCCCTCCTCTCCTCTCTGTGGTTATTGTGTTTTTTTTCCCTCTCTCCTTTTGGAAGGGTCGGTGTTTCCAAGATGGCGCAGTGAGTGAGGCCGCCGACGCCATTTGCAGCCGCTTGCACCGAGCCCGCCAGCGAGAAGTCGAGAGCGAGCACCCCCACCCCCTCCGAATAACAACAACAACAACAACAACGTCCCCGGCCCAGCAGTCCCAGGCCCACGCCGCGCTCTCTCCTCTCCCTCCCCACCCCACCTCCACCACCTCACCTCTCCTCCTTCCTCCCCTCCCCACCACCTCACCTCCCCTCCCCTCCCTTCCCCACCTACTCCCCTCCCTTCCCCACCTACTCCCCTCCCTCAGGCTGCTATTCCTCCCCCCCATCCCCATCCCCTCCCCCTCTCTCTCTCTCTCTCTCTCTCTTCCCCAATCCTCCCCACACTCTTAGCCTCTCTCTGTGTGTAACCCTACCGGCAGAGCAGCGCCATGTTCAGGCTACACGGAGGAGGAGGAAGAGGAGGAAGAGCGACAGCGGGTGAAAAGTGAGCGAGCAACCCGGGCGGCGGACCGAACTGAAATCGAGAGAGAGAGAGAGAGACTGACGGGGGCAAAGTCTGAAGAGGAAGCGGAGCGGACACTTTGTGGAGTGACCATTGGAGCGGCGGACTTTCCCGTGAGAACACTTAGAAGGAGCTCTCTTCCTCCCCAACCCCCCTCCCCTCCTCACCACCACCTCCTCCGAACCCCTCAATTCCCTCCCTCTTCCATCGTTGTATATTTAAAAAGAGAGAGAGAGAGACAGACAGACAGAAAGGAAAGGCGCTGAAGAGGAGAGATAAATTTTTCTTTTTCCAGTAAAAGAAAGGGGAATAATGACCATTTCCCGCTTTCCTCAGCTGACCGCCCCGACCAGCAATGAATCTTGACTCGTTATCGCTGGCCTTGTCTCAAATCAGCTACCTTGTGGACAACCTGACCAAGAAGAATTACAAATCCAGCCAGCAGGAGATCTCTCATGTGAGTTTGCCGAGAAACAAGTCTCGCACACCATGTACTAGAGGCCCCGGGAGCCTGAGGCCTGCTTCATTTCACCGAGAAAGCGAAAGTGTATGTGTGTGAGAGAGAGGGAAACTGATGTAACTTAATTCTTTTTTAGAAAACAAAACGACTCTCTTTGGAAGGGCGACTTTGCAAACTGGTCACTCTCTTTATAATGATAAAACATCAAACAATTCTAACAATAAGAAAGTAGAGAGACAAATACCAACTCACATGGTGAAGTCTGGGCCTACCAAAAAGTTAATGGTCACATATTGCACTTAAAATCGTTTAGCGTGTAAGAGAAGGAAAGCTCCCTCGGATATTAGTTGCTGAAACAGATGGGCAGAAAGTTTTTTCACGTTTGGTAAACTTTACTCTTTCTATAAACTGCTCAACTCGGTGCTCGTAACTAACACCTTCAGGAGTGAGGCCTAGTAAAGGGGACAGCAAAAGTGGGGGAAGGGAACGAAAGGAACTTGTGTCTGTATATGGTGTATGGACCTCTAGTTGAAAGTAATTCTTTTCAGCAATACTTCGAGCTTAACGACACAACTTTTTGATTTGTTAAACGTTTCATGTTAGGTAATTAGTCTGCAAAGATTTTAATTAAATGTATTCAGATTCATTGACAGCTTAGCAAGGCCTCATTTGGTTCCCTACTTAGAATTCCAATTAAACTGAAACAATCTCAATTTAACTATACTAATGTGTTTCTTAGTCAACTGAACTAATTAGTTCCCTTGTCTAACTTTCAAGTTGAGAGAAACTTCTCTAGCTCATTTGTTGTGAATCACTGGACTTCAAAAGCAAATTGTTCTTTGAAAGTGTCATCTAATTGTGACTGTTCCTCACTTTTGGAAAGTTGAGTACATGTCTATCAACATTGGAAGGAAGTGGGATTTGTAGGAAATACCAAGCAGTTGAATGGGAAGTACAAAGGTAAAAAGGTGTTGAAATTTTTTGTCATGAATAAGTTGGAACAGTAGACCCTATTGAAACCTGAAACAAATGAGAAAACCACTTGAATTCAGAAATTGTCTCCTTGCTTTAAGATATGTTTGTGTAGACGATGCAGTTTGGTAACTTGTTGCTTGATCATTAAGCATTGGGACAGTGAAAGGCAATTGTTCTTCTTTTACTTTATTTGATATAATTACTCGTAATATACTCAAGGGGAGGCAATGCTGTAACGGAATTATTCCTGGACTATTAATCTGTAGACCAGGTAATGTTTTGGAGACCTGGTTTCAAATCCTGCCAGGGCAGATCATGACATTTGAATTAAACAAAAATCTGGAATTGAACTCTAATGACCATTGTCAATTTTTGAATAAACCCATCTGGTTCACTATTGATCTTTTTTAGGGATGGAAACTGCCATCTTTGCCTGGACTACATGTGACTCCAGACTTACAGCAATGTGGTTAACTCATACCTGCCCTCTGGGGTGGGCAGTAATTGCTGGCTTAGCCAGCAGATGCCCTCAACCCATGAATGAGTAAAATACTCGAGCCATATCTGTGATGAGAGAGTTTGGAATCTTTGGGTATTTTTGGATTTTGTTTTGGATCTTTTCAAAATAATTTGTAACTTGTTCTTGTCATAGTTTAAAATTCAACTGAGTTCTAAAACTTACTAAAGTTTTTGAACATTGTGGAAAGCAGTCAATGTGTGATCTTTAAGGAGAGAATTTACCCCAGCCTAAAAAATACTTCAGTGAGTTTAGTGACTTGCTCTGCTGCAAATTTATTAATTATATGTGAAGTTGGCTTCGCTAACTGAGGCCAGTGAATTGATGATTAGTCATAGAGTTATACAGCATGCAAATAGACCCTTCGGTCCAACCAGTCAAAGCTGACCATGTTCCTAAACTAAACTAATCCCACCTGCCTGCGTTTGTCCCATATCCCTCCAACCCTTTCCTATTCATGTACTTATCCAAATGTCTTAAATGTTGTAAATGTACCTGCATCCACCACTTCCTTTGGCAGTCCATTCCACACACTATGCCACTGTGTTTTTTGAAAAAAAAAGCCCCTCATTCTTTTTAAATCTTTCTCCTCTCCTCTTAAAAATATGCCCCCTAGTTTTGAACTCCCCCAGCCTAGGGGGAAAAGACCTATGCCACTCATAATTTTATAAACCTCTAAGGTCACCCTACAACCTCCTATGCTTCAGCGAAAAAAGTCCCAGTCTTTTCAGTCTATTTTTATATCTGAAACTGTCCATCCCCTGCAACATCCTGGTAAATCTTTTCTGAACCCGATACGGTTTAATAATATCCTTCCTATAGCAGGGCAACCAGAACTGCACACAGTACTCCAGAAGAAGCCTCATCAACCTCCTGAATAACCTCAACATGATGGTCCTAACTCCTATACTCAAAATGTCTCAGTAATGAAAGCAATTTTTGGTTCCCTACTTTGCTTCAGTTTAATTAGAATTCTATCTCAATTTAACTATACTAATGTATTTCTTAGTCAACTGAACTAATTAGTTCCCTTGTCTAACTTTCAAGTTGAGGGAAACTTCTCTAGCTCATTTGTTGTGAATCACGACTTCAAAAGCAAATTGTTCTTTGAAAGTGTCATCTAACTCCTATACTCAAAAGGTCTCAGTAATGAAAGCAAGCATGCTAATTGCTTTCTTAACCACGCTATCTACATGTGATGCAAATTTCAAAGAATTAATAACCTGAACCCCTAGATCTCTGATCTACAACACTACCCAGGGCCCTAATGTTAATTGATAGAAGTCCTGTCTTTGTATGTATTGCCTCACACTTTTCAAATTAAATTCCATTTGCCACTCCTCATCCCATTGAGTCAATCGATCAAGGTCTTTGTAATCTTAGAGAACCTGTACTGTCCGCTATACCACCAATTTTGGCGTCATACACAAACTTATGAACTATGCCTCCTATATTCTCACCCAAATCACTTATATAAATGATAAACAAAAGTGGACCCTCACAGGCCTCCAATCCAAAAAACAGCCCAACACCACCAGCCTCAGTTTTTTTTTTAACCATAAAACCAATTTTGTATCCAATTGGCAAGCTCACCCTGAAGCCCACGTGATCTAACTTTAGTAATTAGTCTATTGTTGAAACTTTTGTGCAAATAACTTTGGACTTTGGAATGGGATACTGCTGGAGATCCTGTGTTGTCCACTGCTGGAAGTACATGTTGATATTGATGGAGACTGTCTGTGTGGAGTTTGCACTCTCCCTGTGTCTGCATGGGTTTCCTCCGGGTGCTCAGGCTTCCACCCTCGATATGTAGGTTTGGTGAATTGGCCATGCTAATTTGCCCCATAGAGTCCAGGGATATGCAGGATAGGTAGGTTAGCCATGGTAAAAACCCCATGTGTGGTTATTGGAGTGGGGTGGCTTGAGTCTGGATGGGATGCTCTTTGGAGGTTTGGCGCAGCCTCAGTGGCCTGAACGGCCTCTTTCTGCACTGTAGGAATTCTGATTCTGAGCTCAAGACAGAACTTGATTGAGTTGTAACCGTACTGATTATGTTACACTTAGTCGGCCAAATCAAACTTTAAACAATTCAAAATATCAAGTTTGAAAAGACTTTGTCCATGCTTTTTAGAACTTTACTTTTCACCTTTCTCTGTTTTTAGAAGCATGTTACACATAATTGACAAAGCTTTACTCTTTGAATCAATAGGTTAAAGTACAGTTCGCATAAAGGCCACTGCTTGTGATTCAAATTAGAGGAGCTACAACTAATTGCACTCACAACAGCTACCATTTCTGATCTAATCCCTCGTTCAGATAGCTAAATTAAACCACATCTGTAATTGATAATTAAGATACAGTAGGAATGAGATATTAGGTATGTATGGCACCATAGTTAGGATCCATGCCTTCAGGAGCAGAGTCAAGAAAGAAAGGAGACATGACCATGGTAAACTATAATCCATCTTGTTTTTGTGTTGATCCTTTTCCACTTTTAGCTGAAGAACCTGACAGGTTTTAACTTCCCTCAAATGTCAGACTATGAAACTTTATTGATTATTCACAATAAATTTTCAATTTTGAAGCTTTTTTTTATTGTAAATGAACATCAAACAACAAAAAAACCAAAGTGGTCGTTTAATACCTGTGTTCCTTTGACATTCTAGTGACAAGGAGTTCAGCCTGAGGTTAACTGGCCTTCCTTACAAATAGGAGTAATCACTCTTGGTTTTGGATATTCTGGAAGTAAAACTGCAGTGAATTCATTTTTGTATCCTCTTGAGAGCCTCTATATTTTTCAAACAGTTGGGGGTCGGGGGTGCTGCGGATGAAGCTGCTTTTATTCTATGAACTTAGTCACCTAGTCACCAAGTCTCCCTGCTGGCCTCTGAAACACTACCATTCAGAGCATAATTACCAAATTTTTCATGCAAGATGTATCACATCACGCTCATATTGGCAAAATAAAATTGGCGGATGCAATTCATTTTCCTATCTAATCAGCATTTGCTTGACCTCTGAACCAATTAACAATATCTGACTATAGTATTATTTCCCTCCAAGCATAT